GGTGGAACTGAGTGGGCTTTTATTTGAGTTTGAGAGAAAAACTCAACCGGAATATGCAGGGTTTGTGTGTTAAATATGTATGAATGAAACAAAACACAACTCCAGGTCTGTTTTTGATGAAGAAACAACATTATAACAGCTCAGAAAATAGTGTAATATGGGCCCTTTAACCACCATCTGGCACATCACAAAATTTTCCAATACTGCGTAACGCTAATGCAAATCTATAAACCCACCACGTGTATTTAATATCCTTATTAAACCAAGTTATTGTAAAAATGCAGCATTGTAAGCATCAGCCCCAGACGATCCGCAAACTGTTTATTCACACCTTCCAGTTTTACCTCCTCTGTCATAACCATAACTTGTGAAGCGTTCTGCTGACATTGTCCTGATCATATTAATAAAGTGCAGAGACGCGGGACCCGGCAGTAAAAGCCAACAGCGTTAAATCTTCTCATAAATATTAATACGCCATAGAAACACACTCAAACGGCTGAGTACAGAGGAGAAAGAGAGAGAGAGAGTGAGACATGCGGAGGAGTATCTGTGAAGAATCAACACATAATACAGATGATGTGTGTCAGATTAGGTAGTGTCAGACGGTGGGTAGGTTTGAGTTCTAAAAAAATAAAAAGGTTTTCTTCTACCTCTTTGTTCAAATGCGCGCTAATAGAAGATGCAATCTGTTACTTGCTTCTTTGTGTTTTGGTGTGAGATACGTGTTGATTGAAAATGTGTCGCAATCTGGTTAATGTCTGGCACTCATTGTTCATGGTATTTACAGCTGTATAAGAGCTATTTTCTTCGTCGTCTTCTTCTTTACAGAATCTAAAAGGAGGAAAAAGTCTCTCTGAAAAGTGGCCTTCCTAAGATGGTCGTTGTGGAAAATTCGATCCGTCACAGCAGCTCTGGCTCCCTGTGTCAGCTCCAGTGGATAAATAGTAAAAAAGGATCATACGTTTTCATATTTATTTCAAATCTCCCATAGCATCTGCAAATTTTATTCAAGAACCTGAATGCAAAATGAAAAATGAAAGCCTAGTTTAAACCTAATTTGGTTCCATCGACACACAAACCGTGACAACCCAGTGATAAAAACGTTTTACCAAATCAAACGTGCAAATTAGGGCTGCACAATATATCGCAAAAGTATTGATATCGCGATACTGACCGATGCAGTAATCGATATTGCAGCAAACTCAAAACATCACAACAATATCAAAAAGGGATGTAACGATATCCAAATCTCTCGGTACGATATTATCATGATATGCATCTCACGTTAAGATATTTATTGCAATATTTTGGAGAGGCTGATATAATTGTAGATAGGACACTTTTTTGCTTTTAAAATACCTTGACATGATTTTGGTGTGAATTATTTCCATCATAATCCCAAGAATTCAAGTAAAAAACATATCTTTTCATGTTTTTCTGCACATCATAGGATATGTAGTTTCCGATGTCCAAAAGCTGTTGCTATGACAAAACAATGCATTTAAGCAAAAGAACATGGAATTCGTAGTGTTGTGCAATTCAACTTTCATGACTATTCAAAGTTCATTCACACTTGTCAAATGAATGTTCACATCACAATTTAATTTGAACTGTTCAAAGTTAGTTATTTTTATTAGGTGAGCGTAATGAGCGATTATTTAGACTAAACCAGGTCTAAACCAGGACTGAACCTAAACCAGGAATAAACCAAGACTAAACCGAACCAATTGAAATAAACCAAGACTAAACCAGGACTGAACAAAATTGAACCAGGTCTAAACCAGGACTGAACCAGGACTGAACCAGGACTAAACCAGGACTAAACAGGACTAAACCAGAACTAAAGCCAGGACTAAAGTCAGGACTAAAACTGGGTCTAAAATAGGTCTAAATCAGGTTTAAACCAGGAATAAAACCAGGAATAAAACTAGGTCTGAAACCAGGTCTAAATCTAGGTCTAAACCAGGACTAAAATCATGACTAAAATCAGGACTAAACCCAGGATTAAAACCAGGACTAAACCAGAATTAAAACCAGGACTAAACCAGGACTAAAACCAGGACTAAAACCAGGACTAAATTCAGGACTAAAACCGGGTCTAAAATAGGTCTAAATCTAGGTCTAAACCAGGACTAAAATCATGACTAAACCCAGGACTAAACCCAGGACTAAACAGACTAAAACAGGTCTAAACCAGCTCTAAACCAGGTCTAAGCCAGGTCTAAACCAATTTTAAACCAGCACTAAATCAGGACTAAACAAGACTAAATCAGGACTAAACCAAGACTAAATCAGGACTAAACCAGGCTTAACCAGGACTAAACCAGAACTAAAACCAGACTAAACCAGAAACTAAACAGGAACTAAACCAAACTAAACCAGGTCTAAACCAGGCTTTAACCACTAAACCAGAACTAAAACCAGGATTAAACCAAGACTAAACCAGGTCTAAACCAGGCTTTAACCAGGACTGAACCAAGCCAGGGGGGGGGTGGGGGTCTAGTGTCTTGCCCAAAAACTCAGCATACATGATGAATTGGGCTGGATTCAAACCATCAACCTTTCTGTAACAGGGTGATGACTTTGCTTAATGCCTCCAAGCTTTTACCAAACCACAGTATTAAACGAACACACCCAACATTTCACTTTAACAGTTTACACCTTTACATTTTCGATCTTTTTATTCAGCTCTATTTGAACTGGTCGCCGCGGTGCCCACGCCTCAAATGTCCCGTGTTCATTAGAAAGTCAAGGAGAGGAGTTTGTGAAAAGAAAGGTTGCAGTTTTTATCAAATCGCTGAAAAAATAGAAGAACTAACACGATTGTGAAGGATTGAAAAGCTCTGTGCCGTGGAGAAGAAATGATACATTAATCTGAAGGATTTGTCCAAGGTGAGAAAAACTGAAGTGTGTACGTGAGCGGAGAGTACGAGTATGTGCACAGACACTTACAGACACTGGCTAAAAAATACTTTCTATATTTAAAGGGCACATATTACACTGTTTTCTGTGTAGTCTTTTGTAGTTTCCTCATCATAAAAGACCTGTAACAATAACAGATTTTGCTGGACGATTAAATGACCAAGAATTTATTGCGATAAACGATAATATTGACATTTTGAGACCATTTTCAACTATTATAATGACCATGGAATAAAAATGCAAATACACCCTTTCAAAGATCAATAAACCTTACTTTCTAAACAACATTTAACACAGGAACTGTAAGACAAACAAAAACAACAGGCCTAAATAAAAATAGTCTGACTGACAGCGAGGACTTGTTCACAAAAATACACTTGAATAAACCATTGTTGAATCAAACACAACCAAAGCAATAAATAAAATGGATTATTAAAGAGATAGTTTGGGATTTTTGACATAAATCTGTATGTCATCCCCGTGAGCAGTGTCGTGCATCAACACTGACTTACCCCCGACAGCGTCCAGTGAGCCCAGATACTGGCCGTAGTCCGGCAAGTTGACTGGGGACTGTATAATAAAGTGTTTTCCTTCTCAAAACAATCTGTGTTCAAAAGAGTGATACATTTGCATCACAAAACCATCGTCGCCTAAAAAGTCAGACCTCATAATCGCTTGGCACTATTTTCTTTCCGTTCGTATCACTGCGCGCTGCCACCAGGTGACTTTAAAGCAGTACAGATCTGATCCAGCTCTGTGTGGACGCCTGAAAACACTGATACTCTGATGTAGTTCTGTGCGCCACGAAGTAATTCACCTCCAAAACACTAAGAGACTTGAATATATGTCCATTCATATAAACGTGTGTCTGTGTGTACGACCTGCAGACGTATAATCTCTGAAAAGTTTAACATGAACTATCTCCAACGCGACAGAAACACAGAACAGACTCACCATCATCAGAACACCCCTCTGTCACAGAAAGAACACTCATATTCCACTGAGTCATGTCCTTTAGTCCGACAGAAGCTGAACTACATCAGCGCACAATAGCGAGCTGTTTTTTGAGCGCTCAGTTTATGCAAATGAGCCATGTAGTTTTAAGTTTCATCGCTGTAAAACGTAAACAAATATGCTCAAAGCTGTGTGGATAGGGAAGACTTGCGAAAACAGAAACGACGTGTGTGGACACAGATCGTTTCCGATATGATGATACGGTGATACGTGGATTTGTTTCAGTGCAAACAGGGTCAGACTGTTTTCTGTTTGAGAGAAGAACTCAGTCTAAATCTGCAGAGTTTGTTTTAAATGTGTGAATGAAACAAAACACAGCACCAAGTATACATGTAACGATCATCAATAAATCAATTAATCGTACAATAACTTTTAACGAGCTCAATAACTTTTCCGACTGTGATAAATTCTATTTGCATGCTTGTTTGTTGTTTGGTGAATGTTAGAAGGTTTCTATCGCTCTCTGACTCCTCTCGTTTAACAAGTGTAATGACGCTGAGTGCAGAAAGCACCGCTGTCTGTGCACTGAACATGAAGCTGCAAACACAAGCGCCGCTGTCAGAGTGACAAAACACAGTGACAGTTCATCGCAGAGTGCCAAAACAAGTCACGATACCGAATCAACACGAGTGAGCGGGACACGTCTCAACAGTCACATGCGTCAAATGCAGCGAGCGCGCAAACGACGAGAAGAAATGTCTCAAACCCCAACAGCCGATATAAACCCAAACTCGATCGAGTGATACCACTAGCCCCGCCCCCGGAAGAACCCGAAATCCACTGAAATCTCACAAAACACCGACATGATACCAGACAGGACAAAGGCTCCATCATAGTGGAATAACATCCTGTGTCGCGGGTTAATACCAACATTTAAATGACCAAAACACCGAGGCCACAGCAGCAGCCACAGAGAGACCAGACACAATATTCCAATGTAAATCAGTGACTAAAATCACTTAAGGGCAATTTTGTCACAGAGACTTAAATGGATAGTTTGGGATTTTTGACATAAATCTGTGTGTCATCCCCGTGAGCAGTGTCGTGCATCAACACTGACTCACCCCCAACAGCGTCTGGTGAGCCCAGATACTGGCCGTTTTGTGGTGCTGAAGAAAGTACTATGGAACTTTTCAGGTAGACTCTGTGACATCTGCTTGTCTCCATGGAAACGTTTAGCTTTGCCATATACCATTAACTCATCAGGTGACTCCAGGTGATTGCGTTGCTACGTTATAAAAGCTGTTATTTGTACGACTACAGGTGGATACTGCGAGGGCTTTTTATAGTATTAGAACAACATGTGTGTGTTTATTGAGGCGTCAGTGTGAGCTTGTGCATATGTATGGAGGGGAGATGTTTGAAGAGCGTGTATTATGGACCGCACATTGATACTTTTTCCTCAGATGTTGCACTTTTCTTTAGATGCAGCTCCTGTTCTCCTCTGAGAGTTGGAGAGTGGTGTCTTTACACAAACACACTGTACAGTGTAATGTGTGTGTGTCCTATGTGTTTGTAGTATTGTGTGTGTAGTACAGTGTTGGGGAGTAACAGATTACATGTACCGGAGTTATGTAATCAGAGTACAAATTATGAGTAACTGTATTCAGTTACAGTTACTGTTTCAGTGAGTGGTAATTGGATTACAGTTACTTTGTTGAAATAAATGGATTACACGGCGGTATTAGGACCTGACCTAAACCAGGACTAAACCAGGACTAAACCAGGACTAAAACAGGATTTAACAGGACTAAAACAGGACTAAAACAGGACTAAACCAGGACTAAACCAGGACTAAATCATCCTCCGTGGACGTGTCTCCTCGTCTTCTATCAGTAATATTTTTAAGTTGGTTCAGTAAAGTCTGGGCTTTTTATTTTCTTTTAGCAGATAAAATTTCTTATGTTACAATATCCTCGTCTTTGCTTCTCTACAGAAAATCAAGTAATCCAAAGTATTCAGATTACATTACTCATTTTAAGTAATTTAATGGATTACGTTACAAACTACATTTTGGTGTGTGTAATCTGTAATCTGTAGGGGAATACATTTTAAAAGTCACCTTCCCAACATCGGTGTGTGTGTGTGTGTGTGTGTGTGTGTGTGTGTATAT